AGACACATGAGAAAGTTAGGGAGACATTGTCCATTTCTTTAGGTGGGCCCATTTCAATTACTGCACCAAGTCTGAGCTTCAGAAATTCAACAACACACCAAAATACTCCATATAACATTCAATTAATTATATTTTATGGAAGTTAAGAAAGTTATTCAAAACTAATTATTTTTTCAAAAATTAAAATATTACTTTTAGGTGTTGGTCAATTAGCTAAAAAAAATGCGGATGCAATATCTTTGATAGGGTATGAGTACAAGTCATCTGCTCTATCTCAAGCCCATAAATCAAAAAATACATTAAATTGATAATTTTTATATTTGTCCTTATTAAAGAAATGGTATTAAAAACATATTTTATATTTTCTCACACCTATTTACTTTGTCTCTCTCTCTAGATTTGTTAAATCTATAGGAATAAAATTGAAAAATGATGGCTGATTGCCTTCAATTAAAGGCACGTCTCTTTTAATATTTTATTAGTTTTTTTTTTCCCAAATGACAGGACGATGGACCCAGCCCATAACTACAAACAGAAGAATACATCAAGATGGCCCTATGCCCACAAAACCGGGTTCCAATTTTTATTCTTAGGTCCGTCACAAAACGACACTGACAAGACCCTGACCCATGGAAATAAACGACAACCAAAATGACCCACAGTCCCCGCGCAACAACCAGAGGCCCCATGTGCTGAATACGGCAATGGACTATTACCGTTACGGGCCCAATGTATACTCCAAGCCCAATTATGAACGAGTTAGTCAGAACTTCTAACTCCGGTCATGTAAGCAAGGTCCATTGAAGTGATGAGTCAACAAGAGTTGGATTAGTCGGTAAGAAAGCGGCTCACAATCCATAAAATCATGAGTTTCAATCTCACTGAAGATGTGAGAACCTTGTTAGTGGGTGATTTGTGAGCACTTTCGTGAATATCCTATGAGCTTGGAGGTATGTCCTAACTCTAATAAGTTCATGAGACCCATTTATCTAAATTTTTTCAAAACGAAGAAGGAAAAACGAAAAACAAAGTGACGGAACACGAAATGAAACATAAAGATTTCAAGTGTGTCAAATTGAAGAAGTTCAACTAAACTGTTAGAAAATGTGGGTTCTATGTACCCCTTTGAAATCACCATGCACGGGATATTATTAATGGAGCTTGCGGCTCCTCAGTACTGACATTAAGAATCACTCCCTTTCAACATCAGCTCCTTTAATTTGTCCTACACAGAATCTGCCTGATAAGTTTCATAAAAGTAATCCTTCAACCATGTTCAGTTTGAGGAAGAAGAGAAACGAGTAAAAATGATTTAGATCTGAAACATGCTGTATCTTTGAATAGGTACACAAAAATGGTCTATACATTCACGCTATTCAGCTTCCGTACCAGCAGAAAGTGCTGATATAGGAGAAAACATGATCTTATTGAGTAAATTCTTGGGACAGTCATTATTTACGAGTTCCCAAAGAACAAACAAAGTCACCAATAAATCGAATTGCTTATTGGTTATTGAGACTTCCTACTGGCCACATTCATTTCTTAAGATCTCACAGTGATTTTCCTTCAACTTTTCTCAAAGAAGCGTGCACGCAAATATGATATATATGATTTATGGGGAAAAGTTTCTGTTTCACTCAATGCAATAAGGCCTCTTTCGATTGACATGTGGAGCTGTGGCGCTGGTGGATGGGGCATCTGGTGGCAGCTAGCAGCAACCCCATCAGCTGACATGGAACGTGTTGCTTTCCCAATATTAATAGCCTTGGCCTCTGCTAAAAACGATACACTGTCCGTTCTCTATTGCGTGTTATAAACATATCTTGATTTTTCCTGGGTTGCTATGTGGATTTATGGATGCAAAAGATTCAATTTTGTTGATTTGCTTCCGCAACTTGACAGAACAGCCACCGGAAAAGGCTATTCAAGAGTTGGATCTAAGCCGGCTTAGAATCTTATTATATTTTGGCCAATAAAACTACAAAAAAGCATTCCTCTCTATATATGTGTGTATATGGTTCCATTAACTGATGTGCAGAAAGTTGATTCAAAAGTTGCCCAAGTCTCTTTTATGCTTTCTTCCATCCCACACACACATATATAGATAGAAACCTTGTGCTAAGTGCTCTTTAGTCGTGTGATGGAAGGAACAGGAGTGAAGCAAGTTGTGGTGACAATAAGTGATGGAGACATATTTGGTGAACTGTTTTAGAAAGGCTAATTGATTGAAGACTTCAAGGTGGTCCCTTTTGCCCAATTCATCTGGTTCCATCTTCACCTCCAACCCTAAATATCTCATCCATATTATTCATCAATATTGCTTCTGTCTGACTTATTAATTCGTCTCTACCCATACTTTGAATTAATTGGTTGCTTCATAATAAGTTAGGTGTTGGAAAAAAGAAGCCTTTGGGTTCGGAGATTAAAGCACCGTAGGTGACTTGTTATAAAAATATCAGGAAAGACCTACCAGTCCACTTCCTGATGCGTAAGTCTATGCCCGCTTTAAATGGGACACAAACAGAAGTCAGAAATTACGTGAGTGTCAAACTTCCTCTTAAAAAGGAAAAACTATCAGCTCTTCTTCTAATCCGGTATTATTATTTGCTGTGCAGGGAAAAATAAGTTAATTATGTGATTCAGGGGGTGTTTGGATAGAAACCAAACCATGGTTTCAGAAGTGCTTTTACGGATTACGAAGTAAACATGTGGAGGAGGTTATCTCGTTTTACGGAAAAGTGATTCTGAAACCTAGGTTTTGGTTTTGCCAAACACCCCCTCAGTGGCGTGTGAGTATATCCATTGTTCCATCGGAAATTACACATACGCCCCTAAACCTTTGTAATTATTACAATGCCAAAATTGACTCAATTTCCTTGTCAAGACATAAAATATTTCACTTCAGAATTCGTCTTCAACGTGACATGGTGCTTGATTAGTCCAGCCAATTATATTTGATCTTTGGTTATACAAATGTCTCAAAAAGGCACAATCACGTATGGTCGATGCACGTCTTTCATTAATAATGACAAAGCCATAGCTACACATTTTGATAATCTAAAATTAGAAACAGAGTGACCGGAACGATTCCTAAACCGTGATTGATGTGCTATGCTTTTGTAAGTAATTAACAGATATGGATAGCTTCTTCATTTTGTAAATGGGCCTTTGTTGGAATTTGCTTCCTTTTGTGATGATCGTGGCCCCCACCCTACGCAGTAGGTACTACTGTTCCTAATGCCAACTTTGCACGTTTTATTATTTCTCCATCGCTCAGTATCCCAATCCCTAAAGGCAAAGGTATATATTTGCAAAATTGGTCGAGTGAAATGTAAAATACTGATCCTATATGTGCATGGATAGCAATTGTGTTTTCTCTGGAGGAAAAGAGAAAACGGAGAGACGATCTTAAATTTTAGCAAATTTTACGTACATTTGAAATTCTTGTGAAGTGATGTGAAATTTTCGTCAGGATAATATAAGTGATGGCACATTTAATGCTTGCCAAAATTGACACCGGCGAATCAGCATCACTGGATGTGGAATATGGGTGCTTTGAGCCACACAATTTAAATTTGTGAAGTAAGGCATCCTGAAATATCTTCAGAATAAAGGTTCACATGAAATAGGGTCCCACGTTGGCTTGCCTTAGGGCCTTGGATTGATATTGCAACATTATTGGATTGTATTGGTTGATAAGGACATTGGTGGGACCATAGAGCCCAACTATATATGTACTATTATGATATCCATAAACTTTCCAATCAAATTGCTGATAATTTTAATTTCTTAAATAAGAGACAGTAAATCGTAAAATCTTAAAACCAAAAGTCATATGAATAATGGGGTTCAATTTTCAAATTGGATATAAAATGTGTGGTTTCTTATTATAGTCTTTTTTTTTTTTTAAGCTTCTGTGTTGGGGATTGAAGGGACTATATTTCAAAAATGAAAGAGAGGAGGTATAATTTGGACAAAGTTAAAGCAGGAAAAAAAATAGCATGGTTTATGGTGACCACTATAGGAAGCACACATTGGCGCCCTTCATTATTGTCCTTGGAGTGGGGCTCTTCCTTCTTATCTTATTAGTTCTTAATATAAGAATTAGTTGACTAATTTTATCAGAGTAAAAAAATTATTTAAATTAGTTATTGGTAATAAATATGTATTATTTTTTTTCTAAAGTATCTTTGCTTATTAAGTGTATTGGTTAAAATTACTATTATTACAAAGATTATCTTTAAAAAAAAAGAATAAATGTATGAGACAAAGTGGATTAGGATAATATATTTAGGATCAAAATAAATATTAAATGAGTTCTTATATTAAGTATCGAAGGTAGTATAATTACATGACTCAAAAGTGATTTTGGGCTCAGTTTAATTCCCGTTAGTCATTATTTCTACTAAAATTACGATTTTAATGATGTTTAAGATAAAAATGAACACGATCATTGTCATGCCGTGTATTCTCGGGGGAATCACGTGGCGGCCAATGGGTTTGAATCCAAACCGCACCGTTTACAGGGTGCATTTGAGGATGGGTAAACTTGGCAATGACAAGTGTCCCGGCCAGAGATAGATAATCCTGGCCACCGTTTCCCGACCACCATTTGTTAACTCACCGTTAATTGGGTAAAACACATCGTTTCGCTCTGTGAGGTGAGAGTCATCAATCACCAACTGTCATACATGGCTCCTGTAGTTCTCAACAACAGTATCGGATGACAACCCATGCATTTCCTGACGTCCCAGATTGGAAATTCCTGTTATTTAGTGTTTTATTATTGTTAATTATTCATTCAAACCCTCTTGAAATCTACTTTCCCTTGCGCCAAGGGCTTTAAGAATATTCTCCTGTTTTCTGACTGCATAGAGGCCCTAAATCTGATCATTAGAAGCTGTGACGGTTCTCACCCTTTTAAAAGCATAACAGAGGATAGTATGTTACCTTGTGGTAGGGACTTTTAAGAATTGTTGATTTGTACTCTTGATCAGCTTCTACAAGAGGCGGAGTATGATGAGGGGATCTAGCATCATTGCTACTGTTTTGTATTGACTCTTACTGAATACGGTTTAAATTCCCAAAAAAAAAAAAAAAAAATCTGCTTGCCCTTCAGGCCCTCCTTCTCATCTCTCATAAGTAACCCCCCCGCTGTCTCTACCTTCACATTCTGATCACTTCTGAGCTTTCCTTCTCTTCCTCACTCACTCCTCTGTTCCACACAATGGTCCCCAAACCCTTCGTTGTATCTTCTTCTTCTTCATCCTTTTCCTCCCCTTCTCCTTATGTCCCTCGTCTCTCCGTTTCCTCTGTCAGAATCGAAGACAAACCCCCGTCCCAGACCGTTACAACTACCTCACCAAAGCCCCCACCCGCCGAAACTATTCCCTCACCACCCCCCACCACCACCGCCCACAAGACTGCTGGGTCGAGAAGGGTGGTAAAGAGAAGACCGACGGAGCAGTCCCTCCCTTCGTTGATTTTCAATTCATTTGACACCATCATCAACAATTTCATCGACCCGCCAATCAAACCTTCTGTTGATCCAAAATATGTTCTTTCCGACAACTTCGCTCCTGTCGATGAACTGCCTCCGACAGAATGTGACATCATTCAGGGTTCTCTCCCTGCTTGTCTTGACGGTGCCTACATTCGAAACGGTCCTAACCCACAATTCCTCCCTCGTGGACCTTACCATCTCTTCGATGGCGACGGCATGCTTCACTCCATTCTCATATCTCAAGGCAAAGCCACTCTCTGCAGCAGATATGTTAAAACATATAAATACAACATTGAGAACCAGGCTGGGTATCCTCTGATTCCTAATGTCTTCTCAGGTTTCAATGGTCTTATTGCTTCTGCGGCTCGTGGGTCCCTCACTGCGGCTCGAGTCTTAACGGGACAGTACAATCCTGTTAATGGAATCGGTTTGGCTAACACGAGCTTGGCTCTGTTCGGGAATCGTCTCTTTGCTCTGGGAGAGTCTGATCTTCCTTATGAAGTCAAAGTGAAACCAAATGGTGATATAGAGACTCAAGGCCGTCACGATTTTGATGGGAAGCTTTTCATGAGCATGACTGCTCATCCCAAGATAGACCCAGATACCAGCGAGGCCTTCGCGTTCCGTTACAGCCCTGTTCCGCCGTTCCTCACCTACTTCCGTTTCGATTCCGACGGGGCGAAGCAACCCGACGTGCCTGTTTTCTCCATGGTCCGACCCTCTTTCTTGCATGACTTCGCCATTACCAAAAAATACGCCATCTTTGCTGATATACAGATAGGAATGAACCCCCTTGACATGCTTGCCGGCGGATCTCCGGTGGGTTCAGACCCGTCCAAAGTTTCGAGAATCGGAGTGCTTCCTCGGTACGCCAAAGACGAGTCTCAGATAAAATGGTTCGATGTTCCGGGGTTCAACATAATCCACGCCATTAACGCTTGGGACAGTGAAGATGGAAACGAAATAGTTCTGATAGCACCGAATATTCTATCCGTGGAGCACACGCTAGAGAGAATGGAGCTGGTTCACGCCATGGTGGAGAAAGTAAGGATCGATCTCAGAACTGGGATTGTAACAAGACAGCCAATTTCGGCGAGAAATCTGGACTTCGCGGTGATTAATCAAGCCTACGTGGGAAAGAAGAACAAGTTCGTGTACGCGGCGATTGGAGATCCAATGCCGAAAATCGCAGGGGTGGTGAAGCTGGACGTGTCAAAGGGAGAAGAAAGACGTGACTGTACGGTTGGTTGCAGAATGTTCGGAGAAGGGTGCTACGGCGGAGAGCCATTCTTCGTGGCGAGAGACCCAGAGGACCCAGAATCAGAGGAGGACGATGGGTATGTGGTGACGTACGTGCACGACGAGAATAAAGGAGAGTCACAGTTCTTGGTGATGGATGCGAAGTCGCCGGAGCTCGATGTGGTGGCGGCGGTGAGGCTGCCCCGGCGAGTTCCTTACGGATTTCATGGGCTTTTTGTGAGGGAAAGTGATCTGAGAAAGCTTCGGTGAAGATGATGATCGTTCATGTTCATGGGACCCGGCCACCGACGTCTACACGTGGCGCCACTGTTCAGAGATACATAATAGCATATGGGTAAAGTTCGGAGTTACTTATTTTTATTTTGCCTATTTCGAGCAATCCGGGGCAGTTACCGGGGCTGTTACAGGTACTCCATAGTCCATAATGTATATAATTATAAATGACCATATTATAGAAAACTTTTAGCCTTAAAATTTGATCATGAATCTCACTCACTTTCCACATTTATCCCACTATTTTGTTTATTATTTTACAAATAAAAAATCATCCACATATAATTTAATAATTATTTGTGTATTAATATAACTTCAGCTTTTGGGATTTTTTTTTTGGCACAGAACAAATGAAGTTTAAAGAGATTTACATGTAGAAACTTGAAAATTCAGAGCACCAAGGCGCCAATAATTTAGAGCATTACTTTTTGTATCAAGTTTTTCACCAAAACTACGTTAAAATGTGATGTAAAGAAAATTAGTAGTATAATTTTTTGTTCTTAAATTTGTTTTTATTTTGGTTTTGGTTTTTATGTTTCAAAGTATAGGCTTTTTCCCCTTCAAATTTCTTTCTATCTAAAATATTAGTCCCCATAACTTAATACAAATTTGGACTGTTTTGCTCTTTGATTGATTAAAATTTATGATTTAAAACTTGGGATCAAAATGTGCAATTGTATTTTTTAAAAAAAGAAATGTTAAAGAATGTGGCTTGCACTGGAAATTAGATATATGATGCCCACCTACGTACGCTCTTTAATATTATCAGGGCGGTCCAAAATGAAATTAGATATATGATGCCCATCTACGTAATTCTCAAGTTTATTAATGCATTTACCATGTTTTGAAAACTGACACCAAATATGAATGATGGAGCAGGCTTCTCTCCGCCGCCTGCTCCTACGCGGTACCCTCCTTTCTCCAAAACGGCACCATTTTTTTTTCTATGGTAACCTCTGGTATCTGGTGCCTTCAGCAATCAACCAATCTGGAACGCGGGAATATGGGCTCATTATGGAGGGCACCTTGCTCCCATTGAGTTATATATTATCGTTGCTATGTACCTAGGGCTTGAATTTGAAACCTCTGGTTAAAAAATAGGATTTTTTTTAGAAACACCCAATATCTTAAAATAATTTTTGAGATATTCAATATTCTAAAATATTTAGCACCCATTATCTTAAAATAATTTTTACCTTAAAAGTATTTTCAAAGTAGCACTCAGTGCCTTAAATTTAGGGTGCTTATTGCTACTGAGAAAAATATTTAGGATACTGGGTGTTGCTAAAAAATTATTTTTAGGATACTCGTGTACCAAAAATTATTACAAGATACTGGGTGTTACTGAAAAAAATATTGTAGAGTATTATTTTAGGATAGTGGGTATTTCTAAGAAAATGTTATAGCTTGTTAAATTATTTTGAGATACTGAATATTATTAAAAAAAATAGCTCAAGATATTAAATGACACCGTTTTACGTAATGGCGGGCAGCAGAGCGGAACGGGCAGTGGAGGGGAGCCCGCTCCAAATATGATGAACAGCTTCAAAGTAAGTTTTTGTTGTTACGCCATTATTCATGGCCTAACTTTGGAATCATATTTCTGTGCCTCATGTCTGGGGCCAGACAATGATTATTACCCATAAATATTACTTCCTTCATTCTATTTTATAAACTTCGAACTTAATTAATGGAATACTACTTTTTGTAAGATTATTTTGAAATTATTTAAATATTAAATGTATTTTTATAAATTTTAGCGCTAATAAATGGTATTACTCATCTAACAGGAATATTATTAAAAAAAGTAATAATCTTCAACTGTCAACTGTCATCATCAACTATCAACTATCAACTATCAATTATCAACTATATTATTGAAATCTTGTAACACCCAATGAGTTGGGTATGACATTATGAGATCTGAATATATTCAATTAATAATATTTAAATAATATCTTGATTAAAATTTTAATATATTGAATTAAATAGGAAGCACCATTATTAAATGAAATCTCAATCAGAAGTTCAAATGAAAAAATTAATAATTAATTTTGCATTTGAATATTTTAATTAGAATTTGAATTTATTGAATTAGTTGGGAAGCATCACTATTAAATGGGATTTCATTTCATATGGATTTATAATTAAATACTATTAAATATTAATATTTTAAAAATATGGTACATGATCATGTGTGATTAGAGAATTTGACATAATAAATATAAAAAACTTGGTATAAATATTGCTCAATTTTAAATTTAATTAAATATACTAATATGTGTATGGTATGGGGGAGAAATTTCTAATTATATTTAAAATTTTTAACATGGCATATATTTAGGGACAAAATAGATATTGAAATCAAGTGAATATGGACGAAGAATTAATTAATTCTGGAAAGTTACGCGTGAGGGGGGGGGTGTTTATGTGTAAGAAGATAAAGAAGGTGGCTAGTTTTACCGGTCTGACTATACTTTTGATCTCCATAAATTAATTAATGACGCACTAAAATCAATGCAAATTCCTGTTACTAATTTCAAAAAAGAAGGGACAATACATTATATAAAAATTACAATGGTTAAGAAACAAGTAATCGACGAAACAACTTGAAATAACTAATTGAACAACATTGCCACACAATTTATTGATAAAAATATACTAAAATTTATAATAATGGAACTACATTAAAACTTTCATGTAATTTACGAAGAAACGTGCCTAGTCTCATTAAGGGGTGTTTGGATGAAAACCAAACCATAATTTTAAAATACTTTTACAATTTACAAAGTAAATATGTGGAGAAATTTGTTTCATTTTATGAAAAAGTACTTCTGAGAAACACTTTTCAATATTACCAAACACCCCTCAAGTGTGGGTATTCTAACAGTGGTTACGTCACGTGCCTTGAAACGATTGTCTTCCTAGACGGCACCACACGTTCTCAATTTTGGTACAAAGCTCCAAGAGTGGCATGAAATATGAGCACTAAAAATGTCTAAAATGATCATGAAAATGATTTTAAAAACTGATTATTAAAAATGCTAATATCAATATTGAAAATGTGAAAAATAAGCACCGGAAATATGAAAAATGTGTACTGAAAATATGAAAAACGAGTCTTGAAAAAAAATTAACTTAGAAAATTTTTAATTTCAGCAAAAAAAAAAAACATCATGATTTTTTTGAGAATTTCAAATTTTTAATATTACCTTCGTCGTTAATATAAAACCTAGCAGTTGACTAATTTATAGAAATTAAGAAATCTATTAAATTACTTTAAATTATTTATATTTATCATTTTTTCTAAACTAATTTACTTCACTTATAAATTGATATATAATCTAATAATCCATATAATATGGTATAATTAAGTAATTTAATAACTTTTTAATTTTCTCAAATTAATTAACTAGAACTTATATTAAACACCATAATGTAATTATCATTAATATTCTTAGAAGGTCTTAAATGTCATTTTTCCAATATAAAATCGCATGGTGGACCCATTATCAGTCACGCGTTGCAAGTTGCAACTGCCATCCTCAAAGACATTGGTAAAGGCCTGGACATTTGTTGGGATAGAGGAATTCGTAAAGTTGAAGTCATTACTGACGGACGCTCCCCAACCCTTGAACCTGCTAACCAGAGCCTATAAAGGAAGAATGCAACATCCTCATAATAGTGACGTCATTTGACAAAGATTGCAATATCAATGAGGTGGAAGGTGATCATAGGTTTCAGGATATCACTTTCTTCATATTTTTGTACATCATTGCTTTGGTGATGCTTTCCGACAATTGCTATGTCCATGTCCAGAATACCGTTTGAATTGTATAGAAAATCCTGACATGGAGGAGTATGCTGCTCAAGGTACAAAAAAGATTGCACTTTCAAAACTCAATTTGGAATAGGAACCAGCTTCATTAGATCTGATAACACTAGCATGGTCCTTTTGTATCAACATCTACAAAGACAAAGATCAATACGGCTTTTCCTATTTAAATCATAGCAGCAGTAACATGATGAAAAATCGTAACGAGGCTCGACAACGAGTGTCATGATTCATTTCCTTAATCAGAAGACTTCGGTGACCCTGAAAAAATGTGACCTAACTGAAATGAACTCTTGCTCACTAATCCATCGGTATGACTCATTTGCTCGGAGACCCAGGAGCCCTGAGGAATAACTCCAAGTGCCGCTTGTCTTTCTCTACAAGTTGCCCAAGTCACCACATATAGACCAGCAATGATCAAAGATCCCCCAAGGACACTGCCGCCATAGATCGAAAAGTAAAAATAATAAGAAACCCAAATAAACTTGTATCTCAGAATTATATCTTTGTTTTGTAGAAACTAGAAAGAAATAGTCGAACTTCAGGAGGTTCAACATGATCAGACATTTTATTAAGTCTGAACTAGTAAAAATTTGCTCAGAAATGGACTAGCCAATAAATAAAGGCCTCTCAACCTAGCCACCTCATCAAATTAATAATAAATCAAACAAATAATAGGAGCTTTTACCTTCCCAAGAAAATAGGACTTCCAAGGAAAATTCGTGACAGAAGGGCGGATGCTGCAGGTTGAAGCGGGTTGTAAAGGGCAACCATAGCCGGACCCAAAATCTTGTTGCACCATGTCAAGAGTCCATAGTTAAGGGCAGATGCAATGGTTCCCTGATTAAAACACAAAAATATACCGGTTAAAAATACTACAATGATACTAAAATATTGATGCAAAGACAGCCGAATTACTGTTTCAAACTGTCAGATTATAGACAACTTGCACAACTTTCTTGCTCCAATAGAAACAGTCTCTTTAAGTCGTGAGATTTGTCCTGAGACTGATAAGCCTTGGGACTCATTTTAGTCCCGGGGGGGAACCTACCCCTCACTATTTAACCCCTTTAGCGCTTTACCTTAATTGTTGGTGAATTACTTCTTCCCTTCTCACGCCTCTGGGCATAAACTTTTAACAAATTCTTGGATAGAATACGCATCTTCTTTTCAACTTCTGTGGAATCATCTTTGATCCCCATCCTTTTAACACCGTGGATACATCAGCCAGAACTAATTTATCATGTCAGAGAAATTCCATCTTAATCTAAGAGATCCATCTAAAATTAAGTCTCCCTATCAATGGCCACGCCAGGCAAGTTTCATAGTTCCCTAAAAAGCGTATTATAGTTCATACAAGCGAGAAGGGTTACAGTAACTTGAAAGCTATATATAAATAAACTTGAACATGTCTTAATGAGTATGACTGCATGACAGAATCTTGTTCAGATAACTTCCAAAAATGGCATATGGTCATTTTATCGTTCAAACAATGACCAATGTTCACAGATTATAAGGCCACATGAAATACTTATCATGTAAAAT